TCGACTGTGATGGTTGGCACATTGAATCAACATGTCGAATTGTGCGAGGTTGAGAGGCAGCGGAGGAATGCTGGCGGCTCCTAAGAGGGAGACACAAACTGCACCACAACACAAGAAGATCAGCATTAGCGTTTCTCAAATATCCAGCAGCCAAATCCACTTCCCTGCTAAGTGACGGTTGGGTGAAATATCCTCTCCTTTTCATGACCCCATAATCCCTTGCAGGGTGGAGTCTGGGCAACTGAATGGAGCTGGCAGAATGTTTACTGGCTGGATGCCCTTCCTGTCACCAGCACAGAGTTTTTTTCAGCAGATATATTCTCATTGGGCCAAGAGAGAGGGAAATACCTGCCTCTACCTAGGATTGAACACACAGATTCCTGATTGTGAGGTGAGAGCTCTACCTCTAGGCTACTGCACTCCTCTGGGTGAATCTTCCCTCTTTTGGGAGGATCGAGGCATCTCTCTCCTAGGCCGGTACATGCGCACCAGACCGCGGCTTGCCGTTTTCCCCCTTCCCAGCCGGCTTCCGACTGGTGAAGTCAACAGGAGAAGCTGGGTTCATGGAAGGACTTTGTGGTTCCTTTTTCACAACTGCACTAACAAGCCCAAAACAAGCTTGTAAAATCGGACACCAGTCATTTCGCGTATTCACTTTGCTTAGCGATGGAAATTCTGGTCCCCGATAGTCGTTGTAAATTGAGGTCTTTCCGTACAGTGGACTGGGAATGGATGGTTGGACTGGATGACCTCCAAGGCCCCTTCCAACTCTCTCGTTCTGTGATGCTATGACATGGGTTGAGTTTGTACAACACGGATCTCTCAGCTTATAAAAGGGAGACGTTGGTTGAGTGAAGCAGCATCTGTTTTCCCATCTCTCTCTCATCACTCTTTATCTCCTCTCTCTCCTCTCTCTCTTTCTCTCTCACCCTCTTTCCCCCGTTACTCTTTCTCTCCTTTCTCTTCTTTCTCTCTTTCTCTCTCTCACTCTCTTTCTCTCATCACTTTTTATCTTCTCTTTCTCTTTATCTCCTCTCTCTCTCCCTCTCTTTCACTTCTCTCTTTCTCTCCCCCTCTCTCATCACTCTTTATCTCCTCTCTCTCCTCTCTCTCTTTCTCTCTCTCCTTCTTTCTCTCATCACTCTTTCTCTCCTTTCTCTCTTTATTTCTCTCCCTCTCTTTCTCTCATCACTCTTTCTCTCCTCTTTCTCCTCTCTCTCTCCCTCTCTTTCACAAATCACTTTCTCTCCTCTTTCTCTTTATCTCCTCTCTCTTTCTCTCCCCCTTTCTCTCAACACTCCCTCCTTTTTCTCTTTATCTCCTCTTTCTCTCCCTCTCTTTCTCTCATCACTCTTTCTCTCATCACTCTTTCTCTCATCACT